TTTTTTACACAGTTGTCCAAAAGCATTACCTATCTTGCTGAAACTATGCAAAATACACAGCACATCACAGCTCCACACCATCCTACCTCACATGCATCACTGCGTGCAGGAAATGACAGACACGAGATTCCTATTTACACACAGCAAAACCAGAAGACACCGCATGCAGTTACACGACAGGGCTGCACTGAAGTGCCATTACAAGCTCTGGGTTGCAAAGTTCACCACGCAGAAGCTGTGCTGTGAGCAAGTCACCAGTACAAGGTGATGCTGGCCCTCTCGTGTACCTTCATGATGCCAACACCTGTACCTGCAGGAGTCACACCATACCTCTCCCAAGGTACCAGGCACCAGGACCAGGCAAAGCAGAGGCTGCTGCTTCACCAACACCCAGCTCAATTCTCCTGCACAGTATCTAAGGCCTTATTTACTGTGTGTAACTCAAACCTGGTCTCTGTACTTCATTTCAATGTTTTCATGAGCTTTTTGGCAATGCTTCACAAAGCACTTCACAAGTATTAAGAAAATCTTTACCCTCCTGACATCATTCTCATTTTCATTCAAAAACATTAATGCTCACAGTTTCTATGACTCTCTTATATTCAGCTGGTGACAAACGAAAGCCCTGTGTTCTGCCATATTCCATAGAGCCCTTCATACAACCACAGTGTCAGACCCAGTGTCCGTGGAATGACTTCAGTGTAACTGCAGCACTCAGCACTTCTTTACATCACAACATGACATCATTCATCAGAAAAACAGAAAACAAAGGAAAGCAAAGATATGGCTCAAGTGTGAGTTGCCTTCTCTCCCCCCCCCCTTCCCACTTATTAAAAACTGCCCAATTTATGCAAATAATGAAAATGTATTAGCATTATAAGAGAAATTATACGTACCCTTGAAACAGTTCCTCCCTTCCATTTTTTTCTTTATAACACCCTGTATTTTCTGATCTCAATCTCCCTATTCAGCCATGCCCATCTTCACGTTTATTGTACACATTCTGTGAAAACCTACACTTTGGACTTTCTGTTTAAACCAAGTCACTGCCTCCTCTGTGCTGTGTAAAGACAGAGCATGTAGGAAAGAGGAACTGGCTTTTGGGAGTGCGGATGGGGAATTCTGCGCTCTCATTTTTGTCCAAAATCATACCAGGGAATGATTGGGGGGAATGCAAAAGCCCCAGTCTTCAAATAGTATGGAAATTCCCTTCAGCTCAGGCTGAAATGAATTCACAGCAGAGACAATCTTTTAGATTTGCACTACTAACCAATTTAACCAATGCAGATTTTCACAGGGTTGATCAGTATAACCTCGACCAGAATGGCACACTATGCCACCTCTTCTCATCTTCCTGCAAAGCTGAGCTCCAGCACTTTTTTTTTTTTTTTTTTTTAAACTCTTCTTTTTACTGTGAACAGAAGAATATATTTGGTCCAACTTCTTTAGAAAGACTCAATCGTGTCAGCAGAACCCTTCATTCCCTCTACAGTGACCAAAAAGATGGCCTGAGACAGACACCTACCATGGGAAATTTCAGCCCAAAATAATTACAATTTGGCAAGTAACAGCGTAATAGTGAGCATCAGGTAACATCATAACAGGCGGTGCTTCTGCCCCACCTAAAGTTCTTTTGGCTCCTTCTTAGAAAATCCTCACGTAAACAGTCTTTCATAACAACTGGGCAACAGCAGCAGCCTATATTCCATATCTTTTTTTCCCATATATGTTCTTGCTGCTTTTTCAGAGCAGAGTTTCTCACACATACCCAAGATGAGGGCATTTTAATTGAAATATTGTCTCATGGTTACCGTTTTATCCCCATAACAACATCACCAATTACTTACTGTAAAAAAATGCATTACAAAGGTAATTCAATCTTGGCTTCTCTTAATGACATTTACCCAAGGAAAACAAAGGCTAAAATCACTACAGCACAAGCGTGGTGCAGGACCAGCCTCCGGGTCTCCAAACTCCTACAGGGGTGCAGGAGAAGATGGCACCCATATTCTTCAGCTGTATAAAACGTCCCGATCTGCAGTGCTTACAGCTGCCCACCCATGGCAGAGCCTCTCTTCTCAAACAGTTGAGTAACACAACCAGGCCTCGTTCCCAAGTCTCTGCACATTTCACAATACGATGTTTAGTAATGATTTTGACCAAAAAAAAGCGAATTCCATTAATCTTAAGGACTTATCAGTCACGCAGTTACCAATATTCTTCTCCACTGAGTCATACGACTGCCAAAAGCCCTTCCTGAGCTACGCCTGTGCTATGACATGTAGCTACGTATGACTAAACACGTCACTTCATTTCCAAAATGCCAAGCGTTTACAAAACGATGCGACCAATGAATACAGAGGGATGTCAGAAAAGGTTCCCAAGCATCATTTCCACATGTAATATCTATGAATGTACTGCAGAAGCCTAAAGGCAACACCATATGGCACAGCAGCTCTCCAAGTGAGCCCAAGTGCTGCTCACAGCACGGCCTGCAGAGAGCAACTGCCCGCAGCCCACTGGCCAACATTCACTGACTTCCTCAGGGACAGAACCAGACTTAGCAGCTCTTCACTTGGCCTCTTGTTCAAATCTCAGCTTCTGCTAACAAACTTATATTTGGATTTCACTATTAAAAGTATTTTTAAAACCAGGAAATTCTTTCCCTTCTTTCCTTTTAGAAAGCCCCATACTAACTCTCCCGTTTTTCCTCCACCAGCAAAGCAGCCCCAAAGCCCAGCAGCTCAATCCAAGTTTCCTCTGCTCAACAATAATAATGTCATGATGCCGAGTCTCTTCTCAAGTGTCAATCTTCAAGTTTTGCACAACATGTTTCTCCACCACTACATGCAAAGCACCATAACCATACACATAAGAGATCTACCCAAAAAAAATCACAGCTCAGATCAACAGTTGCTACAGGTACATACTGTAGAATTGAATTTAAAAGCCCTGAGTTTATTTTGTTCGAGAAGCAAAGCATGAACTACTCTGAATTACTCTTTCAATTCATTCAAGAAGGAAAAGAATGCAAAACTCTCCGTGCTGAATAGCAGCTAACAGTGCACAGTTCATAAAGCAAACGCAGAAATTTGCCCAAAGGTTGTGACACAAAACAGAAAAGTCTTCTTTCAATACACTTAAATCTTTATTGTAGCATCATAATGAACTTACATTTATTATTACAGCGAATAACACTGTGACCAAATTTTTTGTTGCACATTCACAGCACTCTGCACAAAAGGCTCCTGCTGTACCGGACTCAGGAGCACAGTGCCACCCACAGATAGCCCAAACACCTTTCCTCAAACCTTGCCTATTATGCAACCACGTGGTATTTTTGTGCACTGTTTTGAAAGTTCAAAGCAGCAACAAACCTCCACCATTAAAAATCGGTATCTTTATTGTAAATAATCTTTGAAATTCATCTCTGCGTGGCTCTGTTTCAAATAATAAGGCATAATATAGCTAACCTCCGTTTGAGGAATATTCTTTTAACTCCATATTTTAATGATATTACCCTTCTGCATCCAGATAATGCTTTTACAACTTCCTTATTTCCTCTCGTAAGATGCAGGAACGCAATGCCACAAACAAGTTCAATTTCTAGAACTCTCCTGAGATCAGGATATGGATTCCCAAACTCCTCCTCGCACAGCAAACCCCGTGGGCAGCCCCGTAACTCCAATCCCAAACAACACCAGTGTTCTCCCAACCCATCAGGTTCTCACTACTCATTCTTTTCAAAACGAACATTAGAGATTCAGTCACATATTTTTAAACCCCACTCAAAAAACAGACATCAGCAGCAATGAGTAACGACCCCACTGTGGTTAACGGAATCATTCTGACAAAGCTTTGGGAGAAGAAAAACGTTGCCTAGCCTAGGCAAACAAATACAAACCAAGCTACAGCCAAGTAATATCCGTCAGTTCCAACGTCAAAACAACTGCCCTGCACCGTTCCAAACGTGCCACTGCCTTAAGATATGGCCCAAGCACAGTTACCTCAAAGCTATTAGCCTAAACAACTATAATCCAAAACAATTTTAGCAAAATACCCGCAGCACTCAGCTACAACGCTGTGCTAGCAGAGATTCAGAAGCACGCTATGAAAACATTCTCCTTAACAACCTCCCTGTGCAGACGAGGAGTCCAACACGTTCTGGCTGCAGGGATGGCAGGGATCAGCTGTGAGCAGGATCCAGGAATCCCAACCAGCTGCGGGGAATTCAGATGGCAAAAGATCACTGCTCAAAAACACAAACATACCTTCCATCCTCCCCCCAGTATTATCCCAGAATAAAATGAAATTATCATTTTTAAAATATCAGTTATCTTGAGATAATGTAGAGAAGATAAATAGGGAAGAAACACTATTTAATATGCTGCCAAAACCACTATGCTTTTCATTTGTAGCATTCTCCATTTATTATGTCCACAAAGATTTGCTACTTTCTTGGTTTGCTGAACCACTAAATATTTTCCAGCAAATTAAACACTTGTGCTGCTTTGCTAACAACAGAGTCTCAAGAACAGCTCTCACTGTTGTGTATTTCCCTTTGCTGTGGGGTCTGGAGGGCTCCGAAAAATCTTTCTAAGCATATTTAAGCAGTGTAATTTTTAGTGTTTTGATGAATACCGTATTTTTGCAGTATATAATTACGAAGAAGAAAAAAAACAACATGTAATTCACAGACTGAAAGACTGCTTCCAAATAACACTAGCTACCCCACGAGCAGCTTAGAACAACCCATGCACTGCTCACGTTTCTGACCTTTATTTCCTGCCCCTCCAACATTTAAAATTTCTCACGTGACATAATTCCACTATTCTTTTTCTTTTGTTACTCTCTGAGATCAGTAGTCTTCCTGCTGCCTGTAATAGAAGAGATCATGAAACCTATTTCCCCAGAGCACACACTATCCAAAGACTGAAAAACATCCTCTTCAGCCAATGCCATTCGTCACAAGAGTGGTACTTCCTGAGACTAACAAACAAATCACACAGCAGTTTACAGTCACCACCTCCAAAATACCTCCCCACACAACATAACTTACAGAAACTCTTCCCATCAACTCTGCAGCACTTCACACCTACTGCTTCCTGGGAATGCTGTGGAGTACAAGGGAGAGTCTCTGCACACCTGACAAGGACTCTGTGCAGCTCAGATCAAGACAGTTTGGCTCTCATTCACAACTAGGATGGGGCAATGGTAACCACTCATATGTTTCAGTGCAGTAAAATTTCATTTACAAAGAAATAAGACTGAAACCTACGGTTTCTTACCTGGCTTTTTGGAAGATTCTGAGATGGGGAAATAATCAGTGCATTTCTATTAGATTGATGACAAAGAATTGACTTATAAATTGTAGGGAAACATTTGCATATTATATTATGTCTATATTAGGCATCCTTTAACCATCGGTGCAGTGGAAATGCAACAACTACTACAAAATTGCACGCCTGAGTAATTAGAATCTGCCTGCTTACATTCCTAAGAACTTCTTTTCCTACAATAACATTGACTTTCCACTCTTCCTCAGACATGAGAGATCGCCTCTTGCTGAAACCTCACATTGTAAACATTTGTGTGAAGAGATGAAATCTCCATAAGCAAGACTGGTTTTGAATATGGAACCTGAGTTACGTACCAATACCACCACAATAAAACCACAGAAGCCCTGTTTCTGTAGAGCAGTCTAACACTGTAGACTCCTAATTTCACCAGAGATAGTCGAATTGCCCATCACCATCCCCAAATACTGGTCAAAACCTCACTGCACATCAACGCTGTGTGCCAACTTTTGAAAAAGTGGTCTCTTTTTCAGAGTTCTCTTTCTTTATTTGCTTGCTGAGAACAAGAAAAAAAAAAGACAACTGCAGCAGTCTACAAGCATATGAACTATGATACCCTTAAATATGTTACTGATATATATAAATACAAGTGCTGGCTATTGCCAAAGGCCATAGAAAAAAATAGCAAGACAAATAAGAAAAGGAAGGCCTTGTTTGTTCTGGTAATCTGATCCACAACACATCCACTTAAATGGAGAAAAACATATACTGCATGCAGTGATAGAGGGGTCTTTCTTGCCTTGGGACTACCATGAAAGAAGGGAAGATGGAGAATGCCAAATTTTGTCCCCCCACCTTGGGCACGGAGGAACACTGGCGATCTGCGTCTGGGAACAAGACCTCAATCTCCTCCCCCAGACACAATGCTAAGAAAACATTACAGCCAGGATTCACATTCCTGCTAAAATTCTTGGCCTACTGATCACCAAGACAGAGGGAATGCTGGCTGCCCAACCACCTACCCCTAAGCTAGGTTAGAACAACACAGTCCTTCCTTCCTTCTTGTTCTCCCGTGGCTTTCCCAAGTTATTCAGGCTGCACACTGGAGACAGGAGTTATATTATTACAAAACACTTCTCTAATTGAGATTTCAATCCTGCTACCAGACCTATCTGGGTACCACTGACCTCAAGAGGGAATACCAGGGAGGTGAAAGCTTCAAGGGCTTTCAACTAATCATCTGAATTGCTCCAGCAACTGCTTCTGCCATTACTAAAATGAGAATACCTAGAATAAAGTGCAGTAGCAAACAAAACAGTACTAAACAGGAGTAAAAAAACAAGTCAGAAAGAATATCCAGCTATAATTCCAAGTGGATTCTAGTAACAAATGTAATTGCATACATTGGAGAAAATATTTCCTCAGACTACTAAATTAAAAATCAGAAAAGATCAGTAATAATATTGCCTAGCTTTTATACAGCCTCTCTCATCTACAGACACCACAACTCTTTACAATATTCATGACTCCTATTTTAAATTCCTTTAAAAGAAATCATAAACAGGTGAAGGGATTTTCATCACACAGCCCAAATCTCTCAGGCCTGTACCCCATCCACTTGGAAACATTTGCTCTTCACTCTCCCTTGAGATGGGAGTATCTGAGTGTAACCTTCAAGCACATGTTGTCTGCAAACCACAGCCCTTATCCTACAACCAGATCTACAAATACAGATCCCAAAGCCCAGGAGCAACTTCTCTGAAATCAACGAGATCCCACAACCTGGCAGATCAAGTAGCAGAACTGGGTGAAAATACAGCTTAACATGCAGTTTCTACATCTCCCTTTAATTTCCAGTCAGCTGGGAGAGACAAAAACACTCAAAAATAATAATAATAAAAAAATAAGAACATACCACTTTGCTATCATAATCTCTTGAGTCCTAGAGCTATCACTGTGCATGCATCTCTCTCTTCCATAGAAAAATGTATCTGAACTCACTGAAAAAGGCACAGCAGTCATATGAACAAAGGATAAGAAATACATACTCCAGAATCCACACAGGTGAGGAGTGCTAACAGAAGTTGGATTTCTCTTGTTTCTGTTGTTTGTTTGTTTTTTAGTAATTTGTGCTTTCATAAAATACTACAAAGATAACTCGATTTTATCAGTAATAACACACAAAACATTCCTTCACTTACTAATAAAGAAGGGCTCTGCTAATTAAAGATCAACAAAGAAAGCTGAACTCAGCTTCCAGCACTCACAATTTCTCTGCAGTGGAAGCTCAGCCTACCCAGGCCTGATTCATCCACAGGCAAATCCCTCTTTCTGCATGCAGAGGAGGAGGATGGTGGTGGTCACTGCCATGCTCTGCCCTCACCCAGCTGTAAGCTCAAAGCCAGCTCCTCACCCAAGCGCAAACAAGCTTTGCCATTTAAAACACAGACTTACCAATATTTAAATAACAACTTAAGAAATCTCATTTTAAAACCTCTGTTCTACCAATGTCTTGGGGAAAAACAAAACAAAATCACACACTTGCAAAGCATCTCATGTAATTTAGTTGTATCTTTTAATTTTACAAAAGAGTCTGTATTTCCTAAAAGTAATACATTACAAAAGGAGGAATATTTCATCCTTTCCTTTGTTTTCATTATAATATTGACCAGGAAGACCAACACCAGAAAGCCCCACCAACTGGAGCCATCTCAACATGATACATCCCATGTCTCTACAAAGAGATGCATTTTTAGGACATTTTTGGTACTGCAACTGATTTATTTTATGTCTTAAACGGAGAATTAAATATGTTATTTTATAACTCCAGCTGCAGCTCACTGTGACTTGGATAAAAACAAAAGCCCCATTACCTTGTGAACTCACACTCGTTTGGTCGGTAAGTGAAAAACAACCTTGCAACCATTTCCCTGCATTTCTGAACCTCCACCAATGATACATTTAATCACGTTACTGCAATCAAACAACAGCTCCACCAACAGCGCACCGAATCCAAACAAATCCAATCGTTTGGATATTAATAATAGGCCACGACCCACTGAACTCCTCACGAGGCTGTGAGCAGCTCTACTTGGGAACCTGCTTCAAAAAAAGGGGGAAAAAAGAAAAAAAAAAAAAAACAAGGAAAAAAAAAAAAAAAGAGGGCCGTACAGCAACCTGCGGTATAAACTTTCCCGTCTGCAGTTTCACAACAGCGGCATCGCACAGGAGGAGACCTCGGGATCCCCGCGGCCCTCACAAAGCCTCCCTGCAAAAAAAACAAAAATCCCCCTCCCGCGCCAAGCCCGCCTCGCTCGGAGGGCTCGTTTTAAAGCGGCCTTTAAACCCTCACCGCTTCTTTCTCCATCCCTCCGCAGACCCCGCTACCTAAGCCCATTTTCCCCCGCTTATTTATTTCGGCATTTCCTGGCTGGCGCTGCCCGTCCCCTCCCACCCCGCCCGACACACGACCCGAAGCCGCCCCGCACCGCCCCCCCACCCCCCTCCACCCCCCGCACGGAGCAGCCCCAGAGCCGGGGCCGGCCGGCCTTATGCGAGCCCCCCCCTCCCCGCCCCGGCTCCCCGGGCTGCCCCCGCCTCACCGAGCTCAGGGCCGCACCCGCCCGCCCGCCCCCGGCTCCGCGCCCTCGGGAGAACCCGGCGGCCCCCGTGGCTCCGGCCGAGCCCGCCCGCAAACGGCCCCCGAGCGGCCGCCGCCGCAGGGCCCTCCGCAGACACTGGGCCCGCTCCAGCCGGCACCGCTCAGCCCCCGGCCCGCCCCGCGCGCTCCTCCCGGCCCTTCGACCGCCCGAGGGGCACCGGGAGCCCCCCGAGCTCCTCGCGCGGGTCCCCCCGGCCCGGCCCCGCCGCCCTCGGCCCTCGCGGGGGGCGAATGGGGAAGTCCTGACTTACCTGTCATTACTTTCTACGCCATCTTGGATCCACTTGTCAACGTCCCCACAAAGCATTGTGGGAAAGCCCTCCCCCGCCCTCCTCCCGGCCCGGCGGGCAGCGGGGGAAGGAGGAGGGCGGCCGGGCGGGATCGGCGGGGCCGGGGTGAGGCGGGTGTGGGAGCCGGGCCGTGAGCCGCACCTCGGGGACACGGGGCGGGGGGAGCTGTGGCTCTGAGCGCCGCGTGAGAGGGCACGGCCGGCTGGAGAGCGGCAGGCGCTTTCTTCTCTCTTGCTTTATTATTTTTTTGGGGATTGTTTTTTTTTTTAATTTATTTTTTAGTTATTTATTTTGGCCGGTTTGCCCCCCCCCCCCCCCCCTCCCGTTTCCTTGGAATCCCGTCGCTGCCTCCACACGCTCGCAGCAGCTGCCAAGGCCGGCAGGTCCCGGCGGGGCGGCCCTCAGGTGCCCGCCTGAGCGGGGAGAGCTCGGAGCAGCCCGAGCAGAGCAGGTCGGGCCTTCCCTTCTCTGTCCTTTGTTTGTTTACAGCTGCCGCTCCGAAACGCGTGAAAAACTGGATCCTTGCTGAAGGGTTGCGGTTAGATGACGGAACGAACTCCATCATCTCGTTTTGCTGAAGGACCGCCGGTAACGCGTTGCTGGCTGGGCACGAATTCCTCCCCCCACCCCCCCAAAACTGCTTTGCAAATATGTTTGGCCATCGGTGCTCGATGCCAAGGTTGTTTTGCAACGGTTTTTTTTCTGTCCCCTCACATCGCCGTGCTCCTCCTGAGCTGCGGATGGGAGAGCAGCTGCTTCAGCACCTTCCTTGTGTTTTATCAACAAGATTCCAGTTGTTTAGTCGTGTTTTTTTTGTTGTTGTTTTTTAACTTTTCTACTTTAATTAAAATAACTGTAAGATTTAGATCATGTGAGTATTGGATTTTCCTAAATACATTTGTATTTAAATCTATGCTTAACGCCTTCTAACTCTTTGAAGAGTAACCACCAGCCGAGCCTCTGATGCACTGCCGCTGCAAGAAGGTACTTGTGCCCAGCAACACTTTCAATATTCATCAGTAATATGTTTATAAGGAGAGCTCCTTGCAAAAATGAAAATACAGAAGGAAATACATTTTCAGAACAAATCCTTTGCATTTGCAGCCCCAGACTTAGATCAATCCGTTCTTAAGTTGACTTTACAGGTCTGGTGGGGTCTGTTCCAGTGCCCCACAGAAGGCCGTGCCAGAGGGGAGTGCAGTTGCTGGGGCCGCCATTTCAGGAGGACAGAAGCAGTCCTGCAAAACCTGCCCTAGGCCGTGCTGCTGCTGCTCTGGGGCTGCATACCTCACACACGGTCCCCAGTGAGCCTCCATGGCGTGCTGGGAGGTAGGTTTTTTCTCATGGGCTCTGCAGAGGCCAGGCAGTGCCTTGCAGTAATGGAGACAGCAGCTGTGGACAAACAGATAAAGGTGAAAACCACTTTTAGGACCTATATACCATTGTATAGGCTGCTGCAATGCAACTAAGCCTTTTATTTTGGAGAACAGTTGTGTCCAGTTCCTACTGAGCTTGTATATTATGGATGAATTTTTCTGTAGAGATATGCAAGGAATATTTCATTATTTTTTTAATCAGAAATTGAATGACTTATGTCTGTATGTTAAAAAAAAGTATATATCCTCTGGGGTGAGGTAAACTGTTGCTGGCTTTATTTTTCACATAAGCTGTCATTAACTTTTGAATCCCTTCCTTCTGAAAGGATTTCTTTATACTGCACTAGGAAAAATTTCTGTAGCTAGTGAGTTATAGGGGGAAGGATTTGTTCAGCAACTTACGCTCTTTTTACTGCTTTGACCTAAATTAAACTTCTTAGCCCCTATATGAAGCAGGTTTTACTCAATTTTGTGAACTAGTTAACTGTATTGCAGCAGCTCTGAGTGGACAGAGGCTGAGCTGAGAAGCCAGGTCTTCAATGAGTATGGGCTAGGCAGAAACAGATGTTATGTGCTGACTACTCACTCGCATTTCCAGAACTGCCCAGACTTCTCAAGTTCCTGGAATCCCCATGTGCTATTCTCACCAAGGGGATTTCATGATGAGAGCATCACAGTACTACTGTTGAGGAATGCGAGTTTTTTGTACTGGATGCATCATTTCTTCCTGCTGCTGGGGGAGATGAGGAACAGTGAGTTACATTGAGTCTGTGAGCAGAAGAAAAGCAACAGTAGCAGTTGGAAATGTCAGAAATGCCACAGTCACAACGGGAGGCATGAGAGGGACTAAAACAATGAACCTCTGCTGAACATCATGAGACTTGACAGGACTCAGATCCTCAGAAGTGCAACAAGTGATAGTTGTAGAGACCAATTATAATGCTGAGATTTGTAATTAAAAAAATCTCCAACAATATCGTGTTCAGCTATATTTTTTTACACATTTTATGATTTAAAAATCTTTCCAGATTTGAAAACCGCAGCTTCTTGCTGGAAATTCAGATGGCTCAACCTCCTGGGGACTGTAACTGCAAGGAAGCCCCGAACATAAGGTACTAACGCATCCAGTCTCCCTACCCTTAAATCAAGATTCTGCAAATCATGACTATTCACAGGGCTTCTCATGATCCTGTGAAGCTAGGAGACATGCCAAGGACCTTAGAGAATCTAGGCTCTTTGCCAAAAAGCATGAGTTTGAAAACCTGAGGCCACTTAGGGCTACTAGGCGCCCTGCCATGAAGCAGATCTGAGCAGAGTTCTGAAAGGTGTGGCACAAATTCTGGAAGAGTTGGAACCCTCACTTCCTTCAGGGCTAATGGAAAGCTGGTAGCCAAAAAGCCCTAGAGCCCTGGCTCTCCCATGAGTTGCACATTCAGTTTAGTTTCTACATTTTCAAAACAAAACTAATTATTACAAACTTACAGTGCTGCTTTTTTGTTCCCTCCTCTTTCTTCTCAGACTTTTGCCTTCACAAGACATTCAGAAAACAGATTTCCATTCTATGATAAAGTTCACTGTTTTCTTGAAAACGGCTTTTCTCCAATTCCAGTAGAGAAGACCCAATTTTCTATCAGCTTCACTTGTGATGAATTCTGAAGCTAGTCAGGAAACCCCATTATAATTAACGTGGGCAATTAGTAAGCACAATTACATACAGCACTGAATTGCCTCATAGACCCTGCAGCCTAACATGCCAGTAGATCTTTCACCTCTGGAAAATGAAACAGATCTTTCTCAATAGAAGCTCCAGACTGATTGCAATAATAGAAGTAATGTTCCAAGGCTTTGCACACAAGATCTTTGTAATTTTTTTTTGAACTCTCTCAGAAGCAGCAGTCATGGGAAACTAACAGAAGTTAAGTGGCTTACCCTCTGCCACAAACAAGTCAGTGGTAGACCTGAGGTTAGATAGCAACAGTAATTCTTCATCTTATTAAACAACAAAGCAAACTTTCTAGGCTGATCATTAGACTGAGGAGTAGTAAGATCTGATTTTGCAGCATGAAAATTCCCCTGGAATTCCTCCAGTGTCCTCCAACATACAAATGATCTCAACTTTAATCTTACTACGTAATTATCCAAGGGTAATATTTCATCAACACAGACTCCTTAAATACATGTAATTTCTAAAGTAAGGATATTCCAACTAATTCTTGCTCATTTTTAATTTGAACCACAAAAGGAGAGTGGTGAGTAGCAAACAGCACTAAGGGGATGGTGAAAGTACACAGCAGATAAACTACAAAGTTCAGATCAATTATTTAATCCCATACTGTCAAGATCAAACATCTCCAGTGAATTTGTTTTTTAAGAAGCAGGCATGCCTTGCTGTTGACCTCTGATGTAACTTCATACAATTAGCGTATCACCTCAGTGTAAAAGCACTAAAGTTTTTAACTTCGTTTACAGTATGTCCTCTCAATCATAGCCTCAAAAATATTCCTGCAATGAAATAGCCATAGAATCATGAATTATCCAGATAAAAGCATAAAAGGAAGAGAATAAATCACAAGACTACCATTATACAGGCAATACAGTTTTATTATGTTCTTTCACCAATTGTAGCAAAAATGTTTAACAACTGAATGAATAATCAAGGGAACTCAACTGTCAACAGGAATTTCAGAATTATGTCCTAAATTTTAGACCAGGAAGCCCTGACAGGGAGAAAAAAAACCATATACACACTGTAATAATAGTCTCTATTATGAAGATTTAATGCCTTCTTTAAAAGCACTGAGATTATTGAGGCACCTTACTGTAGGTTATGTATCATCTCCTCTTTGGCAATGAGATGTGTGGTTTTGTTAACTAGGGCCATTAGTGAGTTCAGCTTGTGAGACCAGTCATTCAGTATATTGTTTGGATCCTTAGGCCTCTGGAAATTGATAATTCCTGCCAGCCTGTCTACTTTAGCAAAGATGGTCTTGTTAACTACTAGGTTAGACAGGAACTCCTCCGATTCCTGCAAAGACAAACAGTACTAAGTCAAGGAAACAGCATTTTTACCTTCAAAGCATCAGAAGTCCACCCAAACAGCATTAAAGCACAAGGAACCTAGCAGAAATCCAGCTTGAATAACACTATTTAAAAACAGCATAATACTTTAATATTGCATGTTGGCATAGCAAGCTACTAGCACCATCTATTCAAAGGTTTTTGGGGTTTTCTCTCTCATTTGACCTACATCTGATTATCTTTTGTGACATTCAGTTTTTAACATACTACACCAACAGACTTCTACACTTCAGAGTACCTGGCTACACAGATATCAGACTGCAATTTCTGACAAGCAAGACATAGGAAAATCCCTGTGAATTAAGGATGAGAAACCCTGTATCTTCAGTCAGATTTCCTCATTCATTGACAAGAGCTGTTTCACAGTGAAATACAGGGTAAGGAGCTCCAGCACTGAAATATGACCTTGAGCACAAACCCATTTTTAGCATAAGATTTTGCCTTATGGACACGTGCATTGTCACAACCAGTTCTGTCTGGATTTAAAAAAAAAAACAAAATTTTCCATAATGGCATGAAATAAACACTCAGGTCCTGGCTCTGGACAGTGGATACAAAGAAGCAAATATATAGATTAACATGCTATTACTCTCAACAGGCTTTTCCACTGCTTCCCATTGAAGAGCCCATTGAACAGAAGTTCAGTTAATGCTTCCTATTACTACAGCACACTTTATTCTTCCTGGTAAAAGCTGAAAAGCACTGGTAGTACAGTGGAATGAGATGTGAAGAATGCTACAGTGACATACAATATCTATTGCTGCTTGTATACGTACATCCATGAACCCTAATAAACACATGCACATAAATCCTGAGAATTTTTTTTTTTTTAAACCAAGCAGTGCATTTCTACAATGCTGTGTCTTTCTGCATAGCCTGTAAAATAAAGCAATGCTGGCGTACAGCACTGTTTTCAGAACTTTTTAAGAAAAAAAGATTAAAAAAAAATCAAATTAAAAGAATGTTACTCTGCTGGCTACTTACATTCTTGCCACAAGCAAATACACACATATACACAAACATTTCTATTCTCCTTTCATAAAGGGAATAAGCAAGGCAACACTTACGTCAACGGACAGATCCAGGAGCTGTGCCATTCTCTTCATTGTAATTCTGGTATAATATTTAGCCATTATTCTAATATTCTGGAATAAAAGTGTTCAGAGTAGAGGGTTATGTGCAAAAAATAATTGAGGCAGGCTGCAAAAATATAAAAGTCAATGTTAAAAGCAGATTAGGACCTATAGTGCTCTAATGGCAGTCCAGCATAAATTATGTAAATGAGTTGTGGGCAGTTACCATGCTTGTGAAACGTATAATTAATAATCTGTCACACAGAGACTATTAAGTAACAAAATAAACTAATTATTAATTTAAGGCAAAGCAAGACAAGTTTTTACTCTACTGAAACATGAATGTTAAATCTTAAAATTTGAGCACAATATGCTCTTTTTTTTCTGGCCTAATGTGTAACTATACTATGCACATATGAATAAATAAACAATTGAAAAACAGAACATAATGGAAAATGCAACTTATCTGCTGCTTTCCTACATGAAAAACACCTCTAACAAAAGTATGGCAAACAAAAAGCATTTTTAGTTCAGACATAGCATACGTAGCTGATCTGTAAAGGATGAGCCATGCTTACATGTTCCACAACTCTGTTCTTTAAATCTTTCCATCTCTTTTCACCTTCCTCTGTACAGCCAAAAACATCTGTTGCTGGACTGTCAAGGGATCCTTCTCTCAATTCCTTCCCATATTCTTCAACTAGGGCAGTCCATCGCATCAACTCCATGGTGGTAAATAATTTTAGGAGGTCTCTGCAAATGATTTACTAAGGGTGATTAACAATTCTTTATCAATAAGGCATATTTCGTACTTAAATCAAATAAATCATTTAAAATGTTTTCATTACCATTAATATTTGTTGTTCTTTATAAGTATAAACTCTAATACTTCACACTACAGGGACAGCTGAAGTCCAACTATTTCTAATGAAGAGTTTTCTCTTATAAACAGAGATATTTATTTTAACTTGTAACACACAATCATGAAAGTTTTGCAATATTTTTCATACAACAAATGCTAAAATGTTTGCAGCAGACTCAGCATAAACAGATTTCACCTACACAGCTACTGTAAGAGATGCCTTTGGCCTGAGAATTGTTTATTAGAAAGAACACTTACTTATACTTCGGGATTTCTTCTAGCTTTTTGTCACTACTAATTCTGTGCACCAAGTCAGATTGTTCATTGTCATAAGGTGAAAGAATAACATAAAGAACAACACTCTTCAGTGCCTGGAATAGGAAAGAGTGATCCTTTTTTTTTTCCATAATTAAACAGAAGCATTGAAAATTACTTCACAGTGCTTAGAATTTAATATATAAAATGGTTATGCCAAACATATTAAGAAGTCAAAGTGAAATTGATGCTATCTTGCAGAAATGCACCTCCCTTCATAGCAATATATTTAAATTGATACAGGTTAACTACAATTCCAAATTTTCAAAAAAATTTTTTTTCTTAATTAAATGTGAAACATGCCCGTTTCATATACAACAGTGTAAGAGAATAAATTGGGTAGAAAAGGTAGAAATAGGGTATAAAAGGGTAGAAATTGCGTATAAATATTCTTTTAAAATCAACTTTATTACACCCATTCTCAACTAACCAATTTGTTAAGATGATCTGGTATTTAAAAGTAACAAGAGCAGACCAAAGAGCAACTTAATCTATTGTAAACTGATCTGGTAATGACATGAGTGAATAGTATTTGCCACATGAAAATACAGATATTTTGTTTGCTGTGGCTGGTTCTTTTTTTGTTGTTGTTTTTACCTGCTGCCACTTTTCACTCTCAGCTTGAATACATGGAGTATCATAAATGGCTCTGTAGTGCTTACAAATGGAGAGGTAGGAGCCTTCATGTTGATCCAGCTGGATCATTAGGTTGTAGTATTTCAATTTTAGTTTCTGAAACAGTGGAATTACAACAGTTCTATTAGTCATGTAAATGAAATCCAAATCCAACCCAGAAAACGGATGACTTAAATATACACAGACCTCAAAGAAAGGACAGATTAAAATAAAGAGCAAAAAATCCTCAAATGACTTACTTCTGTGTTTTCTTCTTGAAAAAATTTTGTATTAATTTTTTTGCTGATAATTTGAGTTCGAATGTAGTCTTTTACAGCTAGACAGAGCCTCATCTGCTCAAGGATAAATTCTACACGTTCTTTCTTTTCCATTGAACCGTAAGTTTCCACCTAAAATGAAAATGCAACTTTTCAGTACTGTGTCAGAATCAGATCACGTAAAAGAGAGAAGCATACTGTGATTCACAAAGAAGAACAAAAAACAGACGCAGCTGTTCCAGAGCAAGTGAAAATGGTGAAAAGGTTATTTAATTTTGAATTACAGCCCTTACTTACACAAAAAAAAAAAACCAAACCAACAATAACTAACGTGTAACTCACTGTACTACTGAGCAAAGCAAACTGAAATTTGTTTTCCAAAAGGGAAATATTCCTTGAAATTTAACAACGGAACTAACAAGAGCACTTAAAGCTGAATTACAATCTCACTCATAATAGTTAATCTCATTCCAGGCATTTTCTGCAGATGTACATGATTAAGTTTCAGAACAACCACCTACAAGCAGTCAGTATTAATCTTTATCACTGATGTAACTGTGATTACACAGCGTGTTACCTGCAATTCCTGCAGAATAGAGGCAGCTTCTTTCACTTCCCCATTCTGTTCTTTTATTGTTGCAAGTGTCTTTGTCAGGCGAGCGCGTTCAATTTCCACGTATATCTGAAATCAGAGTAGCAATTTAAATATTGGGATTTTCTAAAAAAGGACATAAAGTACAAGACCACAGCCCTATAACACATCTACTTCATGTTTTTAATCAACTAGTTAATTCCATGTGCATCCATTTACTATATTGATCCTATCCACAAACATACACTGGTAAAATATAATGGGTAGGTGGCAAAATTGAACTATTTGGACCAAATTAATCTAAAAATGCCTGAATTCCTTTACCATTCCCTACACAAACATAAAAGAATCTGCATAGCAAAAGAAGCATTAGACAGTTTGCCTGCTAAGATATAGTGAAATAGATATGAAGTTAACATGCACCAAGTACTACTATTTGCATTACTGCACACATTCCTAACCAGCCATAAGGTAAACATACTTGACTAACAGCTTAGACTAACTTTGAACAGGCAAAAGCCATAACATTAATACAAACCTGCTTTCATTCAGAATAGATCCTTTTTTGGGGGGGGTAAGCAAAAGGAATAATATGTAAATAATGGACTCATAATATTTCTGATTACCACAGCTGTACATACACCTTGCTAAATAATTTAAACTGCCCATTTCTAACTAATTCAAATATGCAACACTTTAAATAGTGAAAAATGGCACTTTCAAATTCTCAAATGTACGACCTATTGTATTAATAATACATCCAAATTATATATACATAATGGAAATATGATTGGTGTTTTGGCAAGTCATTTACTTATGAAATTTGGAAAATATTTGTAGTCTTTCTGGGAAAGAAATTCTCAAGTTAAAAATATACTTCTGCTCTCATTTGAACAAGACGAAAAATAACATTCAGAAGCTATGCTTTTAAAGAAGGTAAGCATTTTTATTCTACCTTTTAGATATTCAGTCTTAAAACAAAATCTTACTTTTCCTTCTGTAACTGTACGCAACGTGTCAATTAAGCGCAGTTTCACTGGTAAGTCTGTGATGTCTTCAACATAAGTGCAGCACTGCTGGACCATTTTAGCAACTGCCTGGTACAATAACAGAACAGAAAAATCATTGTAGGTTTCTCAAATGCATTCAGATACTAAATAATTTAATATTCAACTAAAGAGACTCAACATGCATGCAAGATGAATCTAATCACAGATCTTGTTTTAAGTGTGTGCAGTTTTTCCTCTTCAGGACACCTACAGATTTTTCAAGAAGGGAAGGAAGAGGAGGAACTAGGACTGATCCTTTCTATCTCTGCAGATTGGCAGATAAGAACTAACAGGCTGGTACCCTTCAGTGGCAAGCACAGATTATTGGAGTGTGTTCTGGTAACAACACTGATAAGGCTGCCACAATTACTACTGAAATACCTACTTCCAGAAAACCTGGATTAAACTTCAAAAAACTACTTAACAGTTGACTTTCAAAACTTGACAGTTTTGAAAGCAAGCATGTAAAGTATAGTTCTTGTTTCATCACAGCAAATTCCAATAACTTTTAATGTATACCTCATGAACATGAAAAATTAAAACCGTGTCTACAGCTCAGACTGCTAATGACTGTAAAGGTGAACAACCACGTAAGAGCACTGGCATGTACCAAAAGCAAAAAAGCCACAGGTGTGTTGCCAAGAACAGAGCTCAGGTTCCAAGTGAAGAGATTAATTTTGGACACTGGTTCCATTATTGGCTTTCATATGCCTACCAGAAAACATCAGCAGAAGCTAAACGTGGTGTATTCAGGCAAGTGCTAGAAAGTCTGCGAAGTCTCTTCATAGAGGAGAATTAGATATAATAAATATTTATACATAAAATATATTATAAAATAATAAAAATACAATTTTATTTTTTGTTTCAAAGGATTAAATTCACCTGTTTTAACTGACTTCTTCTCTTTGACAGAAGAATAATATTTTCATTCAGAGCATCCCAGTCTTTAGCTTCATAACACATCTTCACTATAGCCACTAAGATACGCGATGTGGAAACCATGTCAGAAGCCTGTAACAGACAAGCAGGGTATTAGAGACGGAAAAAACAACCTGCAGATCTGTCGCTTGCATTGCTATGATATAAAGAGGAAAAAAAATCCACTGCATCCAGTCTCAATGGATGACAAAAGACTGATACCACAATTCCCCTTAACTTTAGTACAGTAGAACGGGGGGAGAGGGGAAGAGTGTAGACCAACACAGCACTAAATGATGCACACCACACTTACCGTTCGTGTTTGTTTTTCCAAGGAGAGAAGGTTTTCAATTACTTCTTGCAATCTCCCCTCCTAGAGGAATAGGAAAAGAAATATCACCACTGAAAAAATACAAACCAGCTTTAAAACTTTTAAAAGACTTTCACTGTGACTTTCACCCACATTCATCATATCTTAATAACAGTATATTGTAGAAAACAAACCATATGCTTTAGTGCGTAGGGATGGAATTACAGTAGTCCTGCTTTTTGGATTTTGCCAACTATATTTCTCTTTTTCTAAAGAGAGTAAGATGCCACAATATACTTCTAAATGCAAATTGTAAATCCTAGCAAAACAGTGGGGGAAAAATAGTACAGGACAAGTAGCAGCCAGTGACAGCTTTGGGACTGCAAAATGTTTAGAAACAAGAAAACGAACAACAAAAGAGAGAAAAAGAAAACTGGTTCTAAAACATACCTATTGCACTGAAATTCTTCCAAAGTACATACAGTGAAGAACGTGCTCTTATTGCCATTGAATTTACATGTTATGTGGGAAAGAAATCATGGCCACGATGCCCATACTTATACAGAGCTGCACCCATGGGATAGAACATCTGTGCTAGTAGCAGCCTGAAGGCAGCAGAGCACACAGCCTTCCTATCTGAAAGCTACTGCTTCAAAATCCTACAACACACCACACAGCCCATCTCTGACCAGACCTGCTGACCAAGCAAAGCATTGCTAGCACGTAGGAGCCAGATGCCATCCTGCTGGAACAGGACAGCTAGCCCAGTCCCACTGCTGCGGGCTTTGAGAACCTCTACGCTGCAAAACAAAGCGCACAGAGAAACCTCAGAACAAGGCCCACAGACCACGCTCAGCTGCACCACACCGCACTGAGCGGCCGCGCACAGCCGTTACTCAGCACAGCCCCATCGGTTTTCGGGTCGCACACAGCTGAGCCACGCGGCTGCCGCGCGCTGCCCGCCATCCTGACGCGGGACGACAGCACGGAGGCGCCCAACGCGCAGCGCTCCTGCGAGGAACGACCACCTCCGCCCGCTCGGCCCCCCCGCACCCCGCAACCCGGCCTCTGCTCTCGCCTCGCTCAGCCCGGGCCCAGCCCGCACGGTGCCATGACTCAGCCCATCCGCACCGCCCGCCTTTCCCCCCGCCGTACCTGCGCCAGCCGCTCGCACTCGGGCAGCCGCTGGTCCACCGTCGCGCTGTAATCCACCTCCATTTTCACGATGCGGCCATCGGCCCGCTCCGCGCCGCCGTCCGCCATGGTCCCGGCTCCGCTCCGCGTCCCCCCGCGAACACACACCGGAAGCAGCGCGGCGCGCAGGCGCGGCCGGGACAGCCCGGCGGAAGGCCCCGCACTGCACCAAGCAGGCGCTGCTGAGGGCACCTCTGAGCGGCGCGGGGCGGGGCGGGGCGGGGCGGGACGTGGTAGGGGGGGCGCCTCTGTGAGGCGGTCAGCGCAGGGCGAGCGGGCGGTCAGCAGCGCGGGGTTTCCCGCCACTCGCTGTGGTGGTTCGCTGCCCGCGAAGTTACCTCAGCGCTCCGCGCGCCCCTCGGGCTGCCGGCTGAGCCGGGGCTCGGTGCTGGCACGGCTCCCACGACCGCGGCGTTGCTCACATCTCACATATCCGTAGCGTGAGGCTGTGTGTGTGTGTGTGTGTGTGTGGGGAGGAGGGGGGATGAGTCAGTACCACCGCGATTTTACGCCATTTCTCCGCATTCTGAGGCAAACGCAGCGCGAACGTGGCGTAGCACAGCCGCGGGTGGAGCCGCGGGCAGCCCTCGCACCACGGCTCCCACTGCAGCGCCCGCAGAGGACGTCCCCTAAAAGGCGTGTGATGAGCGTCCTTCTGAGAAAAAAGTCCCAAGTTCCAAAGGTTGTTGTCGGAGTCACCGCTTCTTACTCCACATGCGTGCACAGGCGGCGCAGGGAGGAGCTGTGCTGTGGCAGAACGAGTGGGGCGATGCAGCAGGCATGGGAAGCGCGTTTGGTTTCCATTTGACTTAGCAGTGAAGCAGCTTCAAGGCGCAAAGTTCAGCCTTTACAACGTGTTTTTTTTTCAACAGGAAACCAGCTGATTCTTTCATCTAACTAATAAATCACTTAAAATTGCAGTAAGCGGGTCTGAATTTGGATCCCTCTCCTCTATAGGTGATGCTACAGGTACCGCCTCATTTGGGGCTATTTTGCATGAAAGTTTCATTAGAATGTGGTGCCAACATCGTGGATCGTGACTACGAGCTGGATGTTTACAAATGGCTGTTGTCAAATTTGAAGCAGAAGACATAAACCATGTTTGAAAGCCCAGGCTGTTAGCAGAGCTCCTGGATTTTCTATTTCTTTGTGTGGGCGTTTCTGTTCCACAGAGAAGTCAGGGTGTGTGAAATATGTGCCATTAATGGAACGGAACAACAACAAAAAATTACATCGTTAGCTCCAGGAGATGGCACTGTGTCCTGCCTGGGCTTCAGATGATATACATCGCCTTGAGATCTACATTCAGAGCCAATGAAAACCTGAGGGGTTCTGCTCTTTCTTGTTATGAAACGCATTTCATGGTAGACCTCAATTCGCGTCCAACTGCCCCAAATGTGGCATTTGATCACTCGTATCTTTGCAAATAAATTAGCTGTAAGTGCAGGTGTGTCTTCTGCCGTTGTGCAGAGCTTTATATGACATGCTGCAGTCGCAGGGCTTCCCTGCAAGCTGTGTTTTATGGCCATTCACTTGATAGAAGCAGCAATGTACACATGTCATGATTTATTCACATTATGTAAGCGCTTGGCTTTCTTAGATGGCTTCAGAGTTAGCTGCCTGTGTAGAGCGAGGTGGAAATTAATAACAATTTACCTGAAACAACAACAAAAAACACCGGGAAAAAAAAGGTGTAGCTAACAGAAAGCAGAAAGAAAAGGCTTCCCCAGTGGTCTTGGCTTTGTTGTTCGATTGGGAAGGAGACACGTTGTCACTGAACTTTGCATGCGGCATTGGAAAGTAAATAACTGAGACCAAAAAAAAAGAAAAAACAAAAAAAAAAAAACAAAAAACAGTTTTATTTGTGCAGCCAACTCGGCAGGCTGACCAGAAGGGAAATGGGTGAGGCCTTCACATCCTGTGCGGGTATCTCCCCTGCACACACTGCGCGCCGCCGCTTTTGTAACGGAGCGGTGCGGGCAGCCCCGGGCAGCGCCGCGTCGCGTTGTCGTGCGGCCGGCAAAGCGCGTCCCAGCGGGGCGGGGGTGCGGCCGGCTCAGCTCCTTCATCCCGCGGTGCCCCCGTCCCAGAGCCCCCTCCCCCAACCCGCGGCTCCCCGTGCCGGGACGCTTAAATCCGCCCCATTGGCGGCGGCTGCCGCCCGCCCTCCTTCCTGCCGCGCCGTGATGTCAGCCGCGCCCCCGCCGGGGCCGCCGCTCCGCGGCTCCATCCAGGCCGGCCGCAGCCCGCCCGCCCCCAGCCGCACCGCGGGGCCCCGCGGCCGCCGAGCGCTGACCCGAGCCCAGCGGGAGCCGCGGCGGTCGGGGAGGAGGCGGGAGCCGCGCTCGGCAGCCGGGGGAGGAAGCGGCAGAAAAAGCCTTTGTCTCGGAAATCGGCGTCGCGGCTCTCCTGCCGGCGGGGCGACAGCCGCCTTCTCGGCTCGTTTGGTCTTTTCGCCGCCCCGGGCATGTCTTGACATAGCAGCGAGAGGCCGCCGCTTTCGTGCACTTCCGACGGATGTCTTTGAGCGTGCGACGGCGCTTCGGCTTTGAGACTTCTTTGTAGAGGTCCGTGCGTGTGCGAAATTCACATGATCGCGGGCTGAAGGAGGAAGAACGGGAAGAAAGGAGCGGTTGTGCTGCCGTTCTCCGCCGGGTCCGCCCGCCCGGCCGGTCGCGGGGCTGCGCGGCGGACGCAGCGCCGAACGCGCACGGAGACACGAAGGCACGAAGGCGACCCGCTGCCCCGCGCGCGGCTGCGGGCGCGAGCACTGCGCGGCATCGAGCGCTTCTCGGCTGGCCGCTCCGCACCGACGCACGGGAATATGCTGATGAAGGAGTACCGGATCTGCATGCCGCTCACCGTGGAGGAGGTAAGCTGCGCTCGGCTGCTCCCGGCTCTTTTCTGCCGAGGAAGTTGAGGTCGGTTTCGCTGCGGGCGTTTGTCCTTCGTGTGACAAACTTGGGCTCGTGGCTGCCCGGGGAGGCACGTCTGCCGTGCGGGATAGAGGGGTCCTGGGAGCGGAGGTGAGCGGAGCGTGTCGGAAGGCCGGCAGTCAGTTCAGAGCTCGGGCAACAAGACGTGTAGGAGAGGAATCTGATGCGCGCTTCGAGGGCTGTGCGGTCAGATCCCGAACCTGGGGGAGGTTTACCCGAAGCCTACGTTCTAAACATATCCTCACCTTTGCTTAAAATAACCTTGCAGATAGAACTAGCACAGGTGGGGTACGCAGGCGGTACTTTATTGGCAAAACTTTATTTTTTTTTTGTCGTGTAACGAAACACTTGGAAGTCACAAACTGCTTTTTCTCCGCGTTCTGAATTCACGTTCGGAACGTTACGCTTTATTTATCCGCTGACGCCCCGCACTCTACCTGCTTTCAGCTCCAGGTGCGATAGCACTACTTACGTACAGCACGCGCACTGTGTGTTCCTGCGCAGCGATGCCGGTGCCCGCAGCCGAGCGCGGTTCCGCAGCCCGGACGCGGGGCAGCAGCCGGGGCAGCCCTCGGCGCGCCCGTTGCCGCTTGGCCGCCAGGGGGCGCTCTGCCCGCAGGTGCCGGGGGCTGTGCGTTGCGCTGCCGTGCGGTTCGTGTTGTTGCGCCTTGAAGCCGCCGCGTGTTGCCTTCAGGCTGCTCGTGCCTTGTGCTGGGAGCGGGACCCCAAACCGCCACGTACCTGGGGGTTCGTCGGTAGGCATCGGTTTTGTTTCTGGTGATTTTTCGACGGAGTTATAAAACCTGCTGTGCTGTTGTATGTTGTATTCAATAGACAACTTTATTTGGTTATTGTATTATCATAAAATAGACCACATTTTATCCAAGCCAATTCCTGATGTCTTCAGGCTACCTGTGAACATCACCTCATAATGTCATCAGAAGGAAGCGGATCTAATTCATGTTAAGCGGATCTAAGTCTTGTTAAACAAGCTTTCTGGGGAGAGAAAAGTTCAGAACGCTCCCTGTGCAGGAATGGCTGATGTGTGGTGTGGCAGGAGGTGCTGGAAGCCTCTCACTCTAAAGAATGTTCTCAGTTAGCAAAGGTACACCTTCTAGTTTCTTCGACCTGGAATCTTCCAGGTACTTAATCCAGGAAACTGCAGGTGAGGTGGCTTCACAATGGACCTATGGTCCATGTTTCTGATACATGGCAAGAACTTCATTATTAATTAAACAAACAAACCATGACAAAACTTTGAAACTTTCATACCTTTTTTTTGGTACTGTTTGCTTACTAAAAAAGTCTTGCACTATATTTCTCATGGTGGTCATCTTTGTGATGCCTCCTGCAGTCTCTGAAGATGGCATTATATTTTGCCCTTAGTTCTACATGAAGCACCAATGATGCATTTCTTTGGGTCTGTGTAGGAGATTCATTAGGCAGCCATGGGGAGAACCTAAAGGGGCAATGCTGAGATGCTGTGGCACTATGCTGTAGTTCCTATTCAATACTGAGGCTTATCCATTAGTGGGAACTTTTAATAAAGGTTTTTAAGGACTGTTACACATATACTGTTGTAAGCTCCCAGCTTAGCCTTGAAATAATTTTGTGAAAGGAAATATCATGTGAACTTCCAAGCAAAATGACAACTACTGGAAGAACTATGCAGGTTAGGTCAGAACAAGACTGTTGGTTGAATAAGCCAACAACATTGCCAATTGGAAGTCACTTTGTACTTCATTTGTGGTACTACTGGATTGCATGTATGCAAATTCACTCCTTTTGTTAAAACTGAGACCTTACAAATTACAAAAAGCCATTTCTTTCCAGTAATACATAAAGCAAGTGAAATCTATTGCAGTAATTGCTTGGGATGTGTTGCCAAACTTCAGGCCAGCTGCAATTAATGAATAAGCTTGCTTCTTGATTTTTTTCTCCTCTTGCGTTTTCATTTATTAGTTCATTCTTACAGTTAGTTGCA